TTTTGTCATCGGCTATACTACATATTTTTAGTAAGACATATTTTTAAGTGAGGAAAAGTACTGCAAATATGCAGTCCACCTTAAAGATAACAACAGTTGCCATTCACCATTTTCCAAATAAGTGCTCCCACGTACCGGAACATCTACACATGTGGTGCGTGAGTAGGTTCAGGACTGAGAGGCTAGAAAACGAAGCGCTCGCAAGGCTTGTCTGGCCCTTCCAACCATGCGGGTGCATTCGTTGCAAGTTCCCGATTTGTAGACAAAATGATTTAGAATGAGCAAATCTTGTCTACGCCCGAGGTAGAACATTGAATTGCGATTCCCCCATATTGTGCGAACCATCCTTCAAACTGCGGTACCACCTGCAAATAAACTATGTTGTGCTGCGGCACGCGTCCATGCTGCCTGCTTCAGAGGTAAACCACTGCTCGTGTTGAAGACGACATCCAACAGTGGACAGGCAACAATTTTTAACGAACAAAAACAAAATTGATATCATTCAATAGACACAGATAGGCTCACAAAGTGTCGGCACCATGATTGTTGTTGTTGGTTTTACTCTTGCATACAAACAAAGGTGACTTCCTCTCTCCTCCGATGGACAGTAAAACCCCCTTATCTTGGTAGCCCCTATTTCTTCTCGAATCGGTCACAGAGGACATAATCGCAGCCACTGAATTCCGCAAAATTAAAGGCCGCGAAAATTAAAGGTTCGCCAACATTAAGGGGTTTACTGTTCTTCTGAGTGTCACATGATGTTAACATTTCAAGGAGGCTGAAGGTATTGGTTTAAGAAAAAATTTACCTATGAAAAAAGTGCCCTTCTCCAGGTTAGGCACGCGAGGTTCTTTTGCACTACGTATAAGGTGGCAAGTTTATTTCGGCAGAGCTTTTGGTAAAACGGAGTCACAAAAGTAGCTATACTTGGCGTCAACTATTTTGTGCTGCATTATAAAGCCAGAGTAGATTCCACAGTGCGTGCTTCAGCAGAGCACTGTTTGTTGCAAGAGCATATGTGGTTTAGTGTTGCATCCCATTTGCATAATCTAGAGAAACTAGCGCTGACAGAGTTGGAGCACTCCAAATATTAACAGCCGACTGTAGAAGCATTGAGAGATGCACACATGCGAACTGTGCATTTCTTAAAGGTGGGTTCGAGCAAAGGTAAAAACAATATCTATACTTACGGCGGCCATACTTGCCTTTCCCAAGCACGACCACTTTTCCCTCGGTAGCACCATCCAGTAAGAAGCACCAGCAACACGCCCATGAGACGCCGCCGCCTCCTGGATTGAATGACGACCCGCCTGAGGTCTTGGAAGGAGATCCGGAACACTGCTTTAGGCCAGATGTTGTATCTGGTGGGGCAGAGACTAAAAGCAAAAATTAACGAATTTATCTGAAGCGCTACATTCCTATAGGACAGCAGTATTTTTTTAGGCCAGTGATTCGCTTTAATTAAACACAAATGGTTGGTTTATATGATGAACCATCAGCCTCTATTTTTCTTAAGTGTAACGCAGTGTCTAACGTTACGTCCGACGGAACCCGAAATAAAAATTAAAATTACGCCCAACGTAACTGTCAAGCATTCGAGTTACGTCCGACGTAACCCAAAATAAAAATTAAAGTTACCGTATTTACTCGAAAATAGGTCGAACTCTATTTGTTGGACCCACCGAGAATAAAAAAAACAATTCAAATATAGGTCGACTTTTTTTTATTTTTAAGAACAGGGGAAATTTTGGGCAAAAGAAAGAAACCTTTATTTACATCACTTCACAGCTTGGTAGACATCCTCGCAAATCCGCCACGATACTTCACTGACACCGTTGTAAAATGACGACAAGAAACGAAAGAAGGTGCGAAGCAACGAAAGACAAACTACAAAGACGCAAACAAAGCCGCCGTGTCGCCATGAGCAACACGCGAGCCGAGCCGCCTCAAGCAACTAACAAAAGTAACATCTTTTTTTTTTCTTTTTTTGTGCGCGTTTGCGAGGATGGAGGACAAAGTGCATGGCGCATCGCGTTCCTCTCCTTCCCCATTGCCCAGCAAGGGGAACGCTAGAGGTGCGATGGCGAAATCTAATGCCCCAAGAGGTGCGCGCGATAGCGGCACCAGCCACCGCTGTTGTTTTCGGTTGTTTAACAAAAGCTTTTGGAAACAAGAAGCGGCGCAGCTCTACGGCAACGCCGGCTCGGTGACTCGATAGCTTCATGCCTCCGGTACGGTCGCAAAATTTGGTCGCGAATGTAGGTCGAAATTCTTTAGTCACGATTTCCGGAAAAAAAAAAAGAAAAGGTCGACATATATTTGAATAAACACGGTAGTCAGCTGCGCGACGAGACACACATTATGAAAGCGATTGGTGCGAGCGATCAAGGCGATCAGCGACGTTTTCTAGAAGCCCAGGAACCGAGCGGCGCAAGCAGCGAGAGTGAGAAATCTTCGTCGCTCGGCGCCGGCACTCGTACCTTCTCGTCGTCGCTCGTCTCGTTGATCGCTATATTGCTTACATGCTGTTCAGAAAGGTGCTCTAAGTGGTTACCATTGCATTGGGACCAGCCTCGCATCCAACCGTAACCAGTCTTGACTTTTTTTTAAGCCACCCAGGTAGAAGTTAACATCGTACATACATCGTTTTCAAGCATGGCTCCTCGTTCATTGCTCGATTTACTTTTTCGTAAATGACAAACCGCAATGAAGCACAATTATTCTAGTTCAAAATTGTCACGAACACTTGGCACGCATGCTTACACTGTAGCGCACCTAACGTAATTTAAAAGTAGAACGAAAACGGGGCGAGATTCGCTTACCGCTTCACGGAAACAGAGTCCTTCGGATCCTAGGCCTAACGGCCGAAATCGGAAGTCGCCTGCGGTCCGGCGATCGGACGAGTTGAGCCGGCCGCGCTGTGCTGACCCCGGCTGACCACGCCTGGTTGAACCATGAGAGGCGTCGTCGAGTTGAGAGCCAGAGACGCAGTAGAAACGGACCGTAAAACATCTGTCCCGTAAAACGCAGGAGCCAGCGCCAAAACCGCTACGTCTGGCTGCGTCGCCATCTCCGCGACGACCGGAAGCGTGTAAACCGGGACTGGCCGGGAAGTTAGAAAAGGCGCGGCAGCGGAAGCCACTGGGCGGAAGCTTTACGTTTCGGTTTCGCTTTTCTCCGACATCGGCCACGGTCGCGGGCTGGTATGTTTGCGGCTGGTTGCGACGACGCGAGGGGCCACGAAAAGACGCCGAGTTGGCCGAGTACGAGTCACGGCCCACGATACGAGCAACGGGCCATTTGCCCCTGTCGACCGGCGATGCGGTATCCGCGGCTTAGTGTCACGATCGGTTTGTTGCCGTGCACGTTGACTCAAAGCTCGAGGTTATGCAGTTCCGTCAGTTCCGTTCCGGCACCAGCCGCACCACGTTTTCCGGTGCATCGCACGTGGAGGTATTTCGACGCATTCAGTGAACGTAAAGATCGCGCCCGCTGTCTTCGGTGCTGTGGAAGAAGTTGGGAGACGGAAGAAGCATCAAAACCAAGGCGTTTAGGACTCCAGTCCGGGCCGCCGGTCCACTCTGAACGAGAGGCGACGTGTGTGCGCACGCTTTGAGGAAGCCTCCACGTTTCGCCGCGCCAGACCTCGCCGATCGCGACCAGACCCCGAGTCCGAGAGGCTCTTGCGCAGCCAGGAACGGCAGCGAGGTAGGAGCTGCTCGTTCTGCGCAACCATGCAGTGCTCTACAGTGCTCGGAGCTCTCGTTGTCATGCGTGCTTGCTCCGAAGCCTTTGTGACCCCTTCGGACGCGCAAGTCGTACTTCGCAAAGGTTTGGACGGGGCCGCCCTCACCGAGCAGCTCCGCTAAATTCCGCTTACTTATGATCGCAATAAAAGCTTGCGTTTGTTCTCGGGAAAAAAATTGCGGGACCGCTCTCCGCGCCGCCGACGAGGTTGGCCGCCACCATGTTCTCAGCTGTTCACTCGCTCCCGCAGCGAGCGCCTTCCGATAATCCTCCCCGTTCCAAAATGCGATGCGATCTTCGTTTACATGGGCTGAATGAATGCGCACTCGCCATCTCGATCCACCTCTGTCTAGCGACTTTAATGCGATGCGCTTTGCGCATTATGCCGTTTACATGACCGCATATTGAATGCGGCAACTGAATTCAATGCGACTAAGTCGCATTCATGTAAACGCGGCTTATGGTATTTTTCGACATGTATGATGTATGTAACGATACCGGTGGTAAACGATGGACGTTTTTGTTGGAAGATGGCGGTCGTCTTTCTGCATGTATGGTTTAGTTATACCGGTGGTCTTGTGGTATAGGCGTTTCGTTGGAAAGATGGCGGTCGCCTACGTCATCGGACGCAAAATCATACCAGCCATACCGAGTCATATCGGCGAGCAAACCGGCTGCCAGTATAGACAGACCCGGAGCCATAGCGGTGCCGGTATCTCCAGTTATGGAGAACGCAAAACCAAACTAGCTGCATGTATAATAACAATAAATTATGGTGGTGTCATACCAGGACTGTACAAGCAGCAGGTTTGTTTCTTGTACGTTTTTCCAATAGGGTATGCAATTCCTACTTTAAAAATATACTCAGCATATTTTGAGGATGTGATTTTATAAGTGTTTCATGTAGTAATGAGAGCAAATTTTAGCACTATCTTATGCTTAACAGGCTCTCCCCCAAAAATTACGGTCAGGCATATCTTGACGGGACAACGCGTAGCAGAGTAATACGACTACTTTATACTCTAAACACTTACAATGGGTGTAGGGATGTCCTTTAAAACGTTTGAGTATATAAATCCTTTAGAGTATTTTTAATCTGCAACCATGCTTTAGATTAGAGATATTCTACAATATGTATTCGTTCATCTTAATTGTCTTGCTGTAATTAATTAGGTACTATTTAGCAAAAGCTATCTGTAGCAAACGAAGTGCGCTATGAATTTACTTTGACTAATCAGGAAAAATCTACTTACCACTTGTATCCCTTCTTCATTTGATACGGTGACGGACGCCATTGCATCTTTATCGTGGAACAGGTCCTCTTCTAGATAAGACCCATCCAGCTAAATAATAAACGGATTGTTAATGAGAATTGTGCCATACAGGTTGTCCCCCCCCCCCCCCCCCCCAAAAAAAAAAAGAAAAAAAGTTGGACATTTTTTCTTTGCCCCCCAGTTGTCAGAGTGGGGGGTCAAGGCATGTGCTTTGCCCCCCTCCCCCCTGAAACAGCCCCCACTGGGCAGGGCAAACACTGGCCGGCGGCGCCCAAGGGATACCAAGGGCACCACCCCCTGACCCGGGTGAGGGGGTTTGCCCCCCATTCAAAAACAAGTTCGTACGCCACTGGTTGGGGCCAAAGCTGACGGAGCGCACCGATTGGCCCACCACGACGATGACTTCGCGCTTTTTTCGCCGACGTCCAATCGGCGCGCCCCGCAAACTATTGCCTCCAACTTTGCGGTTGTCGAGTTGAGAACCCCAGTACTATGGTGCCTGGAACGCGTCTCCGACTGGTGTGTTTACCGCGGCCAAAAAAGTGGTCCCTCGATTTCCGCCTGATAACGTCATACAAGTGTCATGCTGTCGCCGGTCGCGACCCTGGCGGCGTCCCAACAGCTGTGGTGTATGTGGCAGATGCCTGTTCTGCTGCAGGTCGCTTTCCACTGTGACAGTTCACGGAAGCTAGTGCAGCCGGAAGTTGGGACGCCTAACGGGACGCCGTGACGACAGCGACACTCGCGTTCGCTCGTGCTTTTTGCCAGCATTTCTACGGCCAACCGCCAGGATCGCGACAGGCAACAGCATGACACTCGCGTCATTTGTTGCCACATCGGGACCGCTTTTGATGTATGGGCGGGATAGGACGCTAAACACACCAGTCGAAGACGCGCTCCAGGCACCATACCAGTACGTATGAGATCAGCGAGAGCTTGTGCTGCGAAACTCTTACTAGCGACAAAACATGAATTAAACGCGCCTTCGTAGACTACTGCAAAACGTTTTTTTGAGTTAAGGCTGTTTCCGATGCTGCGAGTCTCGTTCAAAATCGGTGCGATTTCCAGTAAATCTGCGATCAAAATCGCAGTCCCACTGTTGCAGAGGCTCTGCGACTGGTTTCCACGAAGTTGGTATTTTGTCGCAGAGTGAGGGCGATCACTTCACCGTCAACCAGCCGTTCATTTGCCAGCTTTCATCCGCGATAGTTGCGTATTCGAAAATAAATTTAGACACCTTAAAACGTTCGGTTTATTGCTTAATTATTAAAAATTTCTAGTTACATATTGTATTCGTAAAACCTTTGAGTTCATTAAGACGTTTTTGTTGTATTTTAGGCAAAGTCAAAGGCGTCGCGTCCGTGTCCGAAGAGACGTCCGCGCCCACAGAAATCGCGCGGTTGTTGGAGCATGTGAAACTAAACATTGCGATCGCACTCGCTGCGTCGGCTGTCGTACCGATTTTTTCGCAACAGTCACTGAATGTGCAACAGGCTTTATGTGGGGCCAAAAAATAAATAATTTCAGAAACTTTATTTGCCGTTAATTCCAAGACTAGAAAATTATATAAAGGAAAAACTAGAGCAACCGATAATGCTGTGCGAAGTAGGAGAGGAAATGATAACTTGAAAATCGGCAAATCACCCGGTTCAGACGGCTTAGGAGGGGGAATCTTACGAGGCTTTCAAAGACCATATCGCACCCTTGTCTGATGGCGTATTTAACGAGGCGTATGATTTCAAAGCTTTGTCTCCATCTTTTATGAGTGCGAACTTAATTTTTATTTTGAGTAGTGATAATTGCGAGAAGCTACGTCGTCTGGTTCTCATCGACCCATGACTTTGACGAACACCGATTACAAAAAAGTTTGACGAAGGTTTTGGCTGAAAGACTGGAAAGTGTAATACACACTATCGTCGGCTTACACCAAACATTAAAGGTAGACGTATTGTTACTAACATTCACGTCGCGCGCAGCATTTCAGAATGCAGGGACATTATGAACCGTGGAGGTGCTCTACTGCGAGTGGAGCTTGAGAGAGCTTTACATTCTTTATCCCACAATATTTTTTCGCTATTCTCAAGCACATCAATGTGTTTTTTTTTTCTGGGATGGTGTACCCATGGCTTAAAAAATTCTGCCACTAGCCTTCTTGTCGACGAGCGAGTCCATGAGAGCGTCTTTTTTGGTCCGTACGACGGGGATATCGCGTTTCGCCGACAGTGTTTTGCATTTTTCTTGGACCTTTTTGATTAAGCAATATTAGTAACAGCCACATGGGTTTAGTTACAGGCTAGCGAAGTGCGTATTTTGTCATACGCAAACTAAGCAGCCATATATTTATATTTTGTGTGTGTGTTTTTACGAAGAAAGGGAAGGAAAAGCGGTTAAGGAAACTAAGAAATTGTGACTTAACTTGTAGCGCGGTGAACTTGCACTAGTGTGAGGGTTTTTAATACCACGATTCGCTTTGCGCGCCTACAGTGTTTGATGATGTATTATGCTCTGTTACCCCGGGGCGGTGTCTTGAAATTCCGTTAGAGCACTACCGCACCACCAATCTGCACTGGAAGGGAGAAACTGGATCTTTCCGTGCAAAAGCGCCGAAGTAAGTAAGAAATGGTTTATCTATGTCGTCTCTCGCATATATTTGTAGCACATTTTTAGCCGCAAAGTTAGGGTATGTATTGCAGGTTTTCCTTGTTCATGAATTACGGTGGCCGAGTCGGCTAGCGGTGGCAGTGTGGGCTAGCGCACACCAGCTCGGAGCACGGGCAGCGAAAGCTCGCGTTGCAGAACCCAGGGATCCTGGGTTCAATCCCCACGCCTGCCCCTTTCGATCTGGACGGCGTGCGGTCGTGTACCACTACTGCGTGGTGCACGTTAAAGACCCCAGGCTGCCGGTTGTACTGCACTGGCAAAATTTCTCATCTACAGCTGTGAGACTCGTCGCCCGTTGACGCAGACCATCTTCAGGCTGTATAAACATACGCGAGTCAATTTATTTTTTCTTTAGCATTCAGTGACTATGGACAATACTTACACATGTGTGCTTGCGAATGCCGTCAACGTAGCTCCTCACTAGGAACTCGTCGACTAGGGCAGAACTTTTCTTCAAGTTCAGCGTAATGTCCTCGTTGATCTTAAGGATGCGACTTCCGGACAATCGTCGGCCTTCGAGAAACACAGGATACACGAGGGTTGGTTCGGGTGGATGTACTGAAATTAAGAAGGAAGCGATCAGCAGAATAAACTGCACTCTTTCACAATTCATGCAGCGCGGGGCGTCGCATAACGTGATTGCGCTCTGTGTTTTTGTTATTTGTTTTTCGGCGAATTCATGGGCTAATGCCAGTCTAACACTGGTCGCAGAATGAATATATGATGCACGGGACTCGTCACGCTCTGTGTTTCTGACGTACAACGACGTCTTTATCCGCGCTTTGTAGGGGATTCAAAGTTGGGAGATCGATGTCACGAAAACGATGTCCCAGAAGTGACGTCCCACAGAAAACACCGGAGCGCCGACCGCTTTGCATCGCCGCGCTCCTGACGTCACCGTCGCCGTCGGCGTAACCGCGCCTCGCATTATGAGACGTTTCGATAGTTACGTCACACGTGATGTCACGTGGGATGTCACGAGGGCCACGAGTTACGTCACGACGGTCAGGAGGGTCATGGGTGACATCCCGAGGGTCACGTGTGACGTCACGTGTGACATCACCCTCGTGACGTCACACGGTGCCAAAATTTGGCCGTAAATTTTAGCGCTAGATTGAGCAGAAAATTCTCCCGCTAAAATTAGCGGAGATAAATTTTTTTCGCTAAATTTAGCGGGGATATATTTCCGCAAAATTTAGCGAAGCATTTTTTACGGTAAATTTAGTGGGGAAAGTTGTCCGCAAATTTTTCCGCTAGATTTTGCGAAGAAATTTTCCCGCCAAATTTAGCGGGGTAATTTACCAGGAAATTATACCACAATTTCGCGTCAAGTTCCCCACTCCGTACCCTTCCCTTTTACTCCTTAAGAGCTGCGCTCTAATTCGGCATTACAGAGTATTGTAAACGGCTTTAATTATTTTGATTTCAGTTTTATTTTTTGCATTGGGTTTTTGTTTCCTTCCTTATGCCTCCTAAGCTACGAGACAACGACAAGAACAAATTCAGCGACGTGTAGCTGAAGGCCTGTCCGTCGTCGGCCACCGTCCTGGCGCCCATGTACCGCATGTACGCCACCCTCGAGCTGGTGACGGTGTTCCGGCAGCCGGCAGGGGAGGGACCTTTGGCCAGCACCAGCGTGACTACGAGCTGCACCTTCGGCCAACGGTTCACGTACGATGTTCAAGTGACACCGAATCAAGCACCTTTCCGATAGGTTTGATGTGTCCGTCGTCTTCTCGGTGCCGTTTAAGCTGCCCTGCTTTGTGCCTCTCTGAGTAGAGCGGGATGCCCTGCCGTTTGGTGCGACATCAAACATCGCAACCTATACGTTGCATGTGCATGCAGGGTTTTGTACCAGGGTGTACAGTGGTCAGACGGGCAGGTGTGTAAATATAGGGGCAAGAGATCATTGTCCTTCACTGCGTATTTCGCCCTCGGGGAACCTAGCCAACACCTCCTAGATAAGGAATCCTAAGTGCTGAAGTTTCTTGCGTTACTAAAGGAGGCCATCGTAGGCCGCACATTGGACACGAGCGCTGTGTCAGCGTTGGGACGCAACGCGTGTCCGATTAGTGAAAGCTCGAGTCCCAGTACTACGATGTCGCCGTAGCAGTGCTCATTCTGTGGGCTACGCTGACCCTCTTTAGTTACGCAGGAAAATTCAGCACTTTGGCTTACTTGTCCAGGAGGTGTTGACCTAGCGCTCCATTGTATAGGTGTTGCTGCTCGCCGTCATTTCATAAGATCCAGATTTTGTCTCAACACACAAACAAGGCTGCGAGAGAGAAATAGACGAGGCGTGTTTTATGACGACTCATGAAGCGGACTCGTGTGTGAGCGCTCATTCTGTTCACCTTGTAGGTGACGAGGTACATTTCATTAAAAAGTCTGGCATGCTCGTGTGACTCTATGTAGGTGTATCTAACGCGGGATATTATCGGTTTGCTTTAATTGTTCTCTTCCCTTCCCCTTTTCCGTGTTTGCTTTTGTTTTTTGCTCAGAAATAAACTTTCCGTCGTATGTCAGTGTTCTGTCTGTGTATTTCCGCGTCCTCGTCCCACGTCTTTTACCGCTGTTCCCACTAAACACGTACGCACCACCAATTAGCCAAGCACATGCCTTCTTGCGTTTCGGACAGTCGGTGTGATCGCTGTTTTCCCACGAACTCTTAGGAGCAAAACCTATTCTAGGCAAGCGAGACCGCCAGGGAAGTTGAGAGCTCACGCAGCAACTGAAGTTCGTGTTGCGCGCCGGAGAGTCTCCCTTTGAATGGAGAGACTATCAGTGGCCGTCAACTATAGAAGAGATAGCGGCATGGAGCGGGAACGTTAGAACGGTGAGTCCAGAATACTCGGACAGGGCAGTGAAAGTCTGTCGCCATAAATAAGGAGCGATCAACACGTCATAGGTCGTGAACAGCCTGTATCGAGTCGATGGAAAAAAGGACACGATGGGGACAAAGATTAGCAATAAGGGACGAAAAAGCGGACAGAACGTCCCGGAAAGCCATCAACTCTGCCAGCACCGTGGGCGGTGGGGTGTCCGGGAGGTACGAACACGTTTGATTGCAGTCGAGATAGAGGGGCAAACAGGGCTTGTATGGAGCCTCGATTCATAGGCTACCTGTTCATCGGCTTCGGGCATTCACGAGGAAGGACTAAACATAGTTAACGCCATAGGAAGAGAACTTCGATAAGCCTGACCATACGTTTGTTGTCAGTCACTTGAGAATGGCGCCCAGGGGGTAACGGTGCATCGAGGGAATCCACGAATGGCAGGACGAATTCATGTAACGTGACAAGGCAGCCGCCGCTAGAACTGCGTCAGTCTTCGAGGCACGGGCTTGACGTCCTTGATGAATCAATTCGTCTAATATGTTCCACTGCGCCTCAGCTTGTAGTGTAGGAATCGGTATGAGCCGGGAGAGGCCCGTAGTGACCCACTTGGCCTACCGACGAATAGTTTCCAATCGCGGCCATTCAGCCAAGGTAGGGCGCTGGAACTCGGGCTGGTAAATAGGGCGAAGATGGAGTATCGAGCTAACCAACATGCCGGCAATCTTGCAGAAGAGCCCCCCAAACCGTTTGAAAGATGCGACGAAACAGGAGCAGCATGCTGGAAGCTAACTTGCCGGCGTCGCGAAGCGAGTGTGACGCTGAGCCAAAGGTAGTAAGTCCCATCCAGAGCACGCGGAATGGAGACACCCTTCCGGCAGGACTCGATCGGCGGTGGTCAGTCTTAGTGGATTGTGGCGGAGCTTGCGGAGGCCTCAACTGTTAGCAATGGAGGCAGTCCTTACGGGTAGGAGAGTAAAGCGGACACCGAATTGCACCAGGTTGGGATATTATCCGAGCCAGCTTGCAGACCCCGTGTTTGACGTTCCAGGAAGGAGTGAGTGGCCCACGCGGTTGCATTATCCTCGTATTTCAGAAGTGGACGTGTGAGATAGCCGATAGTTTCCAAGCCAATAGGAGGAGTGCTAGATTGAAAAGCAGTGCGGCAAGGATGGAACTTTGTGGAACCCCCCGCTCCAGTGTAAAGTGTCGAAAGCTGATCACCAATGGCATATCGGTGCATCCACGAGGTTCAGCTGCTCCCGAAGACAAATTCGAAAAGCTAATTTTGTCACACATACGCAAAAGTACTCAAAGAACAAGCATCAAGTGTACACATGGCACGCGCTAAACTATCTGATGAAGAGCACCGTGAGGGTATCGCTGGGCGTTTGTGAGGCTAGAACGTTCCAGGTATGCTACACAACTGCCCAGCAATTTGCCAGCATATCGTCTATGAGTTATTTTAACATACATAATTGTTTTAGAGCGCAGCTCTTAGACGCCCGTTTCCGGCTTGAGCGGCGTCGGCGTAACCGCGCGGTGCATTATGGGTAAAGTTCCCCGCTAAATTTAGTGGAAACATTTCCCCGCTAAATCTAGCGGAAAAATATCCCCGCTAAGTCTAGCGGAAAAATTTCCCCGCTAAATTTAGCGGAAAAATTTCCCTGCTAAATTTAGCGGAAACATTTCCCCACTAAATCTGGCGGAAAAATTTCCTCGCTAAGTCTAGCGAGAAAATTTCCCCACTAAATCTGGCGGAAAAGTTTCCCCGCTAAATCTAGCGGAAAAATTTCCCCGCTAGATTTAGCGGACAAATTGCTCGCTAAAACTAACGGAAAAATTTCCCCGCTAAATCTAGCGGGAAAATTTCTCGGGGGGGAGGGGTCACGTGACCCCTCTCCCGGGTCACCCCCCCCCCCCCCCCCCCGAGGTCACGTGACCCCCCGAGAACACGTGACCCTCAGTACCCTTCCCTCCTCCTCCTCAAGAGCTGCGCTCCAATTCAACGTTACAGGGAGTTGTAAACGGCTTTCATTTTTACTGCTGACATCAATGACATTCTAATAATGAGAGAAAATTAGTTTCATGCCGTGTCCCATAGGTTCCGAATAAATAAAAGTTTCCATTTAAGTTTATTTTTACCACTCTTTTGAAAAAGGTTGTTACTGAAAAAAAGCACAGAACCTCATTGTACCACTTTAAAAACGTAATGGTAACGTACGTACTATCAAATATCGTGATAATATTTCCAAAAGAAATGCGGTATTCTTGGGATTTTTGACTTCTAACACTGTCCAATTTCCAGGTGGGTGGTCTACTCCGAACACAAATCTAGCGGAGAATGTTTCTGGCAACGGTGTCAATGCGTGACTAGAAAAAACTTGAATACGTATCCTCTAGTATCAGTATTCAACTATAAAAAACGGATGCAGGTTTTAGAACATGACCATATCTTGTCGGTCACATGCCACTTTATATCCCAATACTTTATTGACACAGGGCCTTTGTTGAAGTAATTCTCTTATATTCAATATTGTCACGAATGAAGGTGACGAGAAGCCGAACAGTGAACTGAAGGACTAAAGGTTTAATTGGCGAACTTTTGCCAAACAAAAACAACTAACGAAAGAGACTCAGGGCAGCAGAAAAGCGGGCGGCGATTCGGCGGCACTACAGAGCGCTAGCGAGGCTGACTCGACAAGGTCGCGGGCAGCTGCTTAGCTACCGTGCGTCAGTATCTCGAAAGTTCGGCAAAGAAAGTTGGAGCGCTCGGGGCAAGGATGAACTGGCACTTTCGAGAGCAAGAAAGCAGGAGGAAAGTTATACGTATGGTGCGAGAATGAACGCGAATCCTCTAGAAGTCCGTGACCGAGCGTTTCTTGGGCGGCAATATCACCTTGCGGCACGAGCGAGTTTCGAGACATATGCGTAGCAACGAGGGCTAGGCGTCGATTAAAAGTTTTAACCCGATTAATCGCTACCCTTTAATCGATTAATGAATCGATTAATCGGTTGCGTCGATTTTTTATAAATAATATATAAAATAGAATGGCAACAACTCGTCTTGCCTTTGAAGACTTATCCTACTCCCTGTTACACTGCGCAAAGGACATTTAGAATTGAGGATACATATAGTTTAACGATTCAAAGACATATTTTTGCTCCAGCTCCGAAGAGAAAGAAGTTTGTCTACATTCTCCGACACGAAGACAAGAAGCCAGGGCTTGAGCGATGCTTTCTTCTTTTTTCAAAGAAATGGGCATCGATGAGAAGGCGTTGGTTGTTGTCTGCGTTTTGGCGGATGGTCCTCGCTGCAGCGGCGTACTGGGGTGCTTCGCTCGTAGGAGATGCTGAAGCGAACTTACGCCTCCACTGTACGAAAACGGCTCCTTGCAGATGATGCAGTGGACTTCCTTCGAGTTAAAAACTTCACCGCTGGAGTTTACTTTAAACCCAAACTTTCCAGCGAGATAGCCTTTCATACTAGTCTATTTTTACGGGCCGAATACTGGAACAACTAACCATGGCGTTGTTAGCTTCCCAGCTTGTTTTTCTGCTTGTCTGTCTTGCCGGGGCAGGATGTGTAATAGATCCTCAACACGTGAAGTTTTTCGGTCGCGCGGGGATCAATTGCGGCCCGGCTTGTTCGTCTGGCCTCGGCAAAACTGTAATGTATATCCTCGAACACGTGACGCTTAGCGAGCGCGAGAATCGAACCTTGCTCATAGCGCCTGGTTGGGAACGGAAAACCGCTCGGGACAGAACGCCCGGATACACACCACGCAGCATTTTCGTTAGGGAGAGAGAGGGGGGGGGGGGGGCGAGTGGGGCATGAGTCAGCCCTAGTTCGGGCAAGTCGTCCAGGATAGAGCAATGCATGCGTCCAGTTGACTTCTTTGTGAGTACCGACTAAAAAAAAAACGATTAACCGGTTAAAAAATTTGATCGCGATTAAAGCCTTAATCGATTAATCGGAAGGTTAATCGATCAATTGCCCAGCCCTAGCAACCGGTAATCGCGTCCGAAGATACGCCCAGCATAAAAAGGCTGAACAAACTACAAAACTAGGCATTTAAATATTCTGTAGTTTACGTGTTATACTCACGTTGCTTGCAATGAAGAACATGACCGAAAGACGCAAAAACAAAAACGCACAAACGGGTACACATCGTTTGTGGTCGTGATTCGTTATGAGACGAACTTCTGTGTGTGCTTATTGTGTGAAGCTTCAAAGCCCCCTTTTCCGTGACATTTTACGTGAAAAGGTTACCATTATTCTTCCGTCATCAACGGGTTTGCCATCAGCAAGTGCGCATTGTTGTACGAGTACCTCGAAGGAGCGTTGAGCGTCATATCTCCGACATGTTTTTGTGCTCACGCTCTGGTCTATTCACAAGGTGGTGCAGATGCTGAGGTCAAATGACACATTTCCGCACTTGATGATTCGCACCTTAAACAATCTTATTTCTAACGACATTTCTCGTTCTCGCTCAAAACGCTTAGGGTAGTTCACTAGGACATTTAAAAGCTAGTTTTGGTTAAGATTAAAGTTAATTTAGAATTTAAATGGGTCAAAATAATCGCGTCTATATGCCCTGTATTCCCCCTCTTTGTTCACTCTTCCCCTCCAACAATATCGAGAGATGTGATATGGTACATCAGAAAAATAAATCATTTAGAGTCAATTGTAAATCACTTGGGTGGCTTATTTCGGGCTGCATTACTGAATTTTATATCTTTGATGCAGAAATTAATATTTTTAGGAAGAAAAAAACGAGAAGCAGAAAAAGACGACGAGACAACGCCCGAGGTAGGGAGGTCGAATAAACAACCTCCGCAACACACTCAAAACAGTCGTACGTCGTGCACAGTGAAACGGCATTAAACTTTCTCCCAAGTGGTGGAGGTCAGTATAAGTTTCCCTATTTCTGCGCTCCTTCTTATCCTAAATTCTTCTCTAGAGCTTCGCAGTGGACGCACAGCTACCACCGTCATGGTTGGCTCCGAAGCCAGCGCATGTCAGCAGCGCCCCGCTACAAAAATATGTATGGACGTCCTATGTCCATACTTTGTTTGCCGTTCTATTACCCCTTTGTCCATCCTATGGATTCCTGTAGACAGTTCTTAGACCGTCTATGTACCACTGGTTTGCCACAGAATGGACACAACAACGCCATAGAGATCTTCGCGAAACAAAAAGTTTTTCATTCCTTCCTATTTCCGTTCTATGGTCCCGGTGAGTCTATGGACATCCTGTTGCCTCTCTATGGTGTGAGCTATATATTGGTATATTAATAAAGTGATGCCGGGTAGGCGTTTTCTTTAGGTGTAGTGAGGTGTCCGAGTTAAAGAGTTGTTAATTAAGTTCCGGGTATCAATATGTTACATTGATGTCTGGAGGCATATCCAACCTCAGAGTATATTCATTGTGGATATGGAAGTGTTTAGTATGTGCCGGAATCATGTTTTTACTTTCTTAGTGGGAGGTAGGTATATGTGGGTCGCTGCGGCCCCCGTAGATATTCGCAACTTTCACAACCCATAAGAGGTGCACTGGTGCCTATCAAAATTGCGGTCATCTGGATGATCGTCGTAAAACAGCGGTATACTGTCTGCGCGCGACGCGTAAGTAATTCTAGTTGTGCTGTATACGCGCAGTATCAAAGCCTTACTTTATGTTTTTTTTTTTTTTTTTTTTTTTTTTTTTCACGTCAGGAAAGTGTAGGCAAGCCATTTTATTATGAGGCCAATCATCCAGGAGCTAGGGAGTGCGATTCTCACACCGCGGTACCACCATCGCTTAAAGTGGCTTAAAGTGACACCCGAAAAAATACAATTGGATGACCAGTCTAATGGCGTCGAACCGTCTATACCAAATTGAGGAGCGGCTTGATAATCGAGTAATAAAACTTATTAAAATAGATGATGCACACATTAAAGGCTACAGGAAAACTGAATGTTTTGTTGGCCCTGCTGCAAAACCTCCATGTTTTTGTTTTGTTTTTCTTTAATGCGTAAACTAGCTATTTTCTAAGCTATATCACACAGCTACAAGCCACTAACTAAAGATGGTATTGTACGTTCGACGTCAGCGGACTGAACGTCGAAATGTAGTTTTCAGGTGTTACACACGGGGCAAGGAGTGTAAGTACTGCACCCCCTATTTCTGGGACTAGTACAGAAACATCATTTGTGTGAAAAATATTTCGATTATATTTCTGTGACTTAGAAAAGATATTTTTTCTTCTTGGTCCTGCAGCGGCCGTTAATGCAGACCTAAAAAAAAGAAGAAAACAACGTCATGTTATTTGGGCCTGATTGTCCCACTCGGCTATAAAGTACGCAGACTACAAAGTAAACCTTTTTTTTTCCAGCACAATACCCACACCCTTCATTTAAAATCCCGCAGTTCGAGCCCGGCGCGGATAACAATTTGGTGATCCGCATCCGATCGCGTCCGCATAACTTTGTAAGCATCCAAACTGCATCCGCAATGTTCTTAAACTATTGTATGCTCTTCCCATCCGCATCCTGCACTCACATTCGAACCACACCGACAAATTTCGGAACCGCAACCGACCCGCAATCCGCGCATTCATTTTGCGTCATGAAATCAACCGTAACTGAGAAAAATGAAGTATTTCAATTCTGCCTTATACCTTATAAGCCATTTGCTTGTATTGTCAGAAATAGCTCTTCGAGTCAGAAAACGGTGAATGTAAATTGACCGTGTTATTTTTTTTATGGTATTTATACCGAGAACGATCATCCTTTCAGAGATACTTTGCTTCAAATTAACAGAAAGACTATCGTGGATGAGATCGTTCTTTGAAGCTTCGAAACATCCCAGAAAATGCGCTCAAGATAAAGTAAGTTTTAAATGTTCTTGTTTTCTGTTTTGTTTGTTTTTTGCTTTGTCACTACCTACTTCAAGCAGACACGTAACTTCTAAACATGAAAGTTAAATGGGTGTCATGTTCGTTCTGGAAATAAAGAAAGACAAGAAAGAAGAGAATATAAGAAAACAAAGGCGGGTGAGACGAGGCGGCGCGCGGGAGATCTCGAGTGGCGGGAACATAAAGGCTCTGTTATACTCCGACGTAACGCGCGCCCAAGCGAACGCTGGCCGAGGTCGGCTACGTCACGACAGTCACGCTGCGCGCGTCAAAAATTCGGCCTCCTTTGTACTCCGGCGGCTCTGGCGGCTCCCGCGGCGGGTGTCGGTGGGTAGCCGGCGCGGCGCATGCGCAAAATCTGACTACGAGGGCACGTTTCTTGCGAGAGTGCGCCACTTCCTGTTCCTTTTCGTTTCGAAGAGCAGACGAAAATTCTTGCGCTTCTTGAGCGCCAAGTTCGAGCGATGGCGTGGACGTACCTTGCACGACGAAAACTCGCGCTTGCACTGTCGGTGCACCGCCTGCGCCGCAAGCGTAGGCGGTCAATGTGCATACGGTACATCTTTGACAAGCGCACGGTCTACGGTACTCAAGCTTCCTCGTGTCGTAGACACACGGGTGAGGACGAATTCCTTCGATGAGCTTCTCGACGACCGAGTCCGATTCTTCAAACATGACGCCGCACGGAGTGGTGCTCCCGCCGTCTGCTATTGCTCGTATTCGCCGCGAGGGCTACTGGGAGCCAGCGCGTGATGCATCCTGGTCCGGCGTCGCTGGCGCGGCCGGCGCGGAATACGGGATGCTCCAATTTGGCGTCGAGGCAGTCAGGTTACGCCACGACGCCGGAGTATAGAGCGTCGGGTTTTCGCTGACGCGACGTCGCTGTGACGCGCTCGCACGCGCGCACGCGTTACGTCGGAGTATAAAGGCTCTGTTATACTCCGACGTAACGCGCGCGCAAGCGAACGCTGGCCGAAGTCGGCTACGTCACGTTAGTCACGCCGAGCGCATTAAAAATTCGGCTTCTTTATACTCCGGCGTCCCTGGCGGCGCTCGCGGCGCGCGTCGGTGGGCCGCCGGTGCGGCGCATGTGCAGAATCTGACTACGGGGGCACGTTTCCTGCAAGAGTGCGCCACTTCCGGTTCCTTTTCGTTTCGGATAGCATACGAAAATTCTTGGTTGGTGCCCCGCCTGCGCCGCAAGCGTAGGCGGTCAGTTTGCATACGGTACATCTTTGACAAGCGCCCGGTCTACGGCACTCAAGCTTCCTCGAGTCGTAGACACGCGGGTGAGGACGAATTCCCTCGATCAGCTTCTCGACCGACCGAGTCCGAACCCTTCAAACACGACGCCACACGGAGTGGTGCTCCTGTCGTCTGCTGTTGCTCGTATTCGCCGCGCTTCCCGCGCGACGCCTGTCGGGAGCCAGCGCGTGATGCATCCTGGTCCGGCGTCGCCGGCGCGGCCGGCGCGGAATACGGCATGCTCCATTTTGGCGTCGAGGTGGTCAGGCTGCGCCGAACAGCGTCGGGTTTTCGCCGACGCGACGTCGCTGTGACGCGCTCGCGCGCGCGCACGCGTTACGTCGGAGTATAACAGAGCCTTAACAGAGCCTTAAGGCTCAGACCGGCGAATACAAAGAGCGCCAGCTTACGTCGGACGGTCCAGGCTGGGAGGAGTCCGACGCGCCACCTTTTCTTTTCAAGCTATTGAGGTGTCGACCTGTACGAGGCCGACTCGGCGCAGGGAGCGAACACAGCAAAAGCTGCCAAATAAGAAGCCCCGGGCAAACCCTATCACCCACTCGATTTCCCGACCATTTAACCACCCGACCACTCACAATGCTCGGGCCCTTAAAGGTCATACAGGCCAAATGCAAGGATTGATCGACAAACATCCTAACCTGTGTGCTATAACTATTAAGACATTAACAACGAACTTATTTATTTCTATATGTTAATATATAACTTTCATTCGATTTTTTATTGCGTAGTAAATTATTTTTAACGTATTCAGGTGCCTTGTGCGATTAGTAGCAGCACCTATTACAAACAACATGGCGGTGGAGAACGAGGCATCAACTTTCCTCTTATTTGTACGTTTTGTTTTTCGTCTGCCGGAAGAATGTTTTCCGCCCTTTCCTGGTAAGGAAGAACACGCGTTCTCGGGGTGATAGAAGCCCCGATTTCATTGTTTTCTTTTTCTGTGGATAGCGAAATTAAACTCTTTAACGCAATCTTTGGAGACAACTCTTTCGTGGCGTAACCAAGCTTTTTCTCCACGATTGGGACTTTTTTTTTATGAAAGAGTATTGTTTGCTCCCGCAAAAATTGTAGACGGTGCGCTTTATAGTCTCACTCCCTTCTTCGCTTTACACTCTAAGGTCGTACGTCTAGGGGCCGCCTCAGCAAAAAAGTAGATCCGGACACGCGCAGCCGATCCGCATCCGCAGCCCCTATAGTCTGATACAGGTGAAGAAACTTTTTCAAGGGAAAGGAGGGCATGGGAAAAGTAAGCAGAGGGGATGCTGGAGAGGAGGAAACCTCCACCTCTCTTCAGCATTTCGTCTGCTTCCTCCTCCCCTGCCAGAAAACTTTTCTTAGCCTGTCACTGACCGTACCTATCACTGACTGTACCTGCCACTGACTACACCTGTCGCTGACTGGTCATTGCGTATGGCATTTGCATGCCATACGCAATGATCCTTTTTTTTTTTTAAAGCGCAGCTCTTAGGTGCCCTTTCCCAGTTTGAGCAGCCTCGCGTCGCCGTCGCCGTCGCCGTCGACAACGGCGATGGCGACGGCGCTTTATTTTTTTTGAACTTTCTAAGCGCCCTGTACGGCCATTTTCCCCAAAATGTGGCTTCAAATTCGAACCTTGCACCACAAGAAATGTGGCTGAGCACTTTTTCTCATTATAGGACTTTGCGTTGAGTTCATAGGGGGTGCGAGGGGGGGGGGGGGGGGGGGGGGGGCGGGGCGTTTGGCAGTTTATAAAGTTTTGAGCTTCATAATTTACTTCGGAAAACAGATTTGCTGAGGTGTCTCTTGCGATCTCGTTTTTGATTTAATTTCTATTAACAAGGTTTTAGTTATAAGGTTCTAACAAATGCTTACAACTTTATTCCAGCGTATAGACAAATTCTAGGGTCAATGCTTAAAACATTCGATTCCCCAAGTCCTATGTTTCTATTGGCATTCGTCTCCAAGTTCAAGGTTGAGAAAAGTCCCATCCCGTACTAAGTTCAAATAGCCATAAAGGTTGTTTGACGCATTTCCGTTTGAGAGTAACTAACTCCGTTGCAACCGCAAGCAAGCGCCCAGGACGAGAGAACAGACCGGCACCATCGATTGGATAGCTATAGAACATTTCCGGGTGGCGTGTATGTATTTTCGCATCGTTCTTTCCCTGCGTACCTGAAATAATTATTTCAATCTTATTAGATAGCATTTCTCTGGGGTAATGCAAACTCTTGATATCGTCAATTTAGAAACAAAACAAAACACACACACACACACACTTAGTCTATAGGCACACGCAGATCGAATGTGTTCCAGGGCTGCTTGGTAGATGGCGCCAGTACGTTGCTTCACCCTAAGCGGTTGCAGGCGGTTTCAACGCAGTCAATCGCACTCGAACGCAAATGTCTGAAGCAGCCGTGATGCTCGAACAATGTCACCGAAAAACCTACGTGTCCTTTTTTGTTGCATGTGGTTCCATCGGTTAGTGCAACCGCGATGTGGGTATCATAGCCGTATACTTGTTTGGGAATAAAACACTGCATGGCGCAGTTTACGATCGGTCTGTTCTGAAAAAATAAAACAAGAAAAAAGCGTAATAAAAGCGCGACTGACTTCGTACGGTTTTATTAGTAAAAAAAAACATACCTTCATGTAGTGTGTTTTTTTCAACTTTGGAAATGCTCTCTTGCATTGAGTTGTCTTGGACACGCCCTCTCCCGGCAAGTTCTGATCCATATTTTTTAGTTTAGATATCGCGTTTTTAATGTGGAGGCATCTTCCTTGTCGCAACCTGACAAAGACGCGTGTGTTTTGATTAGTATGCAGCAGAGAGTGAAAAAGTGAGATAAGAAAGAAAGAATAACTTAGAAGTCGAAGGATTGCTGATGTTATCACTCTTTCTTCTGTGTTCTTGTATTTTTCGCGCTTTCATTACACAAGGAACTTTATTGAGAAAAAAAAAAACTTCTGCATCATCAAGGAAGTATTAATTCAGTTTGATTACTTTAACGAGATCAACCCTTGCATGAAAATAAAAAAATAACTTTGGCTTTTATTGTTGGAATTTTGATTACTTAGAAGAGCGTCGGTTTTTGTTTAGGTAACCATTGTCCTAAAATTTGTAAATAAAAATTGTATTCTGAATTATATCCCTATTGAAAATTCTCATTTGTATGAGAAATTTCTGTGTCAAATGAACGCATATGAATCATTCAAGATATATAAGAACATATAAGAACCATATAAGAACCATATAAGAACTATATAAGAACTATATGAGATAGATGAAAACATACAAGCGCCATATAAAAGACTTGTAAGAAGTTTCTTGTTAGTTTCTCTTATATGTTCTTATATATCTTTTATTATTCATGTGTTTATTGGACACAAGAAATTTCTCATAGAAATGACTTTTTTCACTAGGGATAAAACAGTAACTATTTTAACTTCGGTGAATACCTGTAAGATATTCCCGTGAACATTCTCGAAACCAACTTTTACAATTTTTGACAAAATAAATTATAAAATAATAGAAAAGAGGGTCACTGACAGCTTAAAAAACGCAGCGTACAGATTTTTTCCCGTTCATTGCTATACGATTTGTTCTTTACAGTTCTTTTCTGCTAATACCGCGTTCTTATTAGCGAAGGAGGGATGGTAAAGATACGTGATTTGAATTACGTCGTATTTGTTACTTTGTCAGCAATCATAGATCAACTTGCTGGCTTTGAGCATTCCACTACAAGACGTGTGTGGCGCCATCTCTCGTTGCCAGTTTTACTGGCTCATGCATGAAATTGTTCGGTGAACAACTGAGCAAATAAGAGAAGAATTTCCCCTTTTACATGTACGTTCAAAACCAGAAATTCAAATCTTATTAGCACCTTTGATCAGTTCATGTGGGGCTTCTCATAATTCATGAATGTGTGTTTTATGCAACCGTCGGGGATGGCGATCACGGTTTTCAAAAGTAAGAAGATACCTTCACGACAAAAAGTTTTCAAGCCATTTGGATAGAACACGGGCGTTCGTCTCGCATCAAATGTTTCGAGGCATGATCCCTTCATTTCGTTTTGGAAGGAAAATAACTCTCAAGTTTTGCGGCGCACCGGATCTCTTAAACTAATACTTTTAGGTTCCGTTTCAATTTGCGCCGTGATACTCTCGCACTTAGCTCAATGATGCCGTGCGAAAAAAAAAGAAAACAAGAACAGAAAAGCTGAAAAAACGGTATATTTCTTTTGTTACCTTTTTTAGTCCTCTCTGTAGCTTTTTACTGCACATCGAAATCTTTGACAGACGCTTGTATTGGACCGCGTGGCTTGTGCATGATAGAACACTAGAATATCGTATTCATGGTCGTGGTTTCCGAGCGCTGCAGACGGTCTCAGACGCAGACGGAGTAGACCCCTTTGTAAAGTGTGGCCTAAGTTTGAAGTAGCGAAGTCCCTTCACGATGGCGGACACGTGTTAGTTTCTTGGGTTTTGCTGCGTCGTGGAATACGAGCCCATGTCGAGCGGCAGGACAGGTCGAAGCTACCCGCTCGCGCTACTTACACGTTTCGCAGTATCGGTCACTCCACCATTGTGTGGAGGATCAGATTGCTTTTTTTTTCAATGGACACGTGACTTTTGAAAGGTGTCACTAGCAGAAGGGCGCAGGCGATACCAGTCGCCGACGCGCCACTTTTATGGCCGCGTCATACGGCCGTTGCAGACGACGATACTCGGTGATGTAATGAGGGAGAGGAGAATACGAGAGCACTCAGGCATGTCCAAACACCGAGCTCTTGTTCGAATGATTAATGGGTGCACCTGGAGCTAGCTACCTTTGTCTTAACTGCACTCGTCGAAGGCGTTCAAATGCGGGAGCCAAACACCCGACGCCGGAGTTCGGCGTTCTAACGGGTTCGATGATTGCAGTGATCACTAATCACTCCAATCAGAGCTCGGATTCCTGACATCCTCGCGCGCTTTTTCTCCTCCCCTCCATCGATTTCTCGGCGCATTCCGGTAGTGGCCGCGCGCCGGCTTGCACGACCAGCAGGCGGTGCCAGACGCCGGACTATATTTTTTCCAGCCCATTGGGATCCAAATGGTGGTCAATTTAGTTCAAGTGTCATCCAATTTCTTTCAGGTGTCATTTAATGTATTCCAAGTGCTACCCGGTTTAATCTCTGGGACAGTCCGTTTCTTCTCCAATATGCACATGCACGTTTTTGTCTTTAGTAGTCGTGTTTCGCTCACACAGTAGATAAATCAGAGTGAGTGTCTAAACAGTTAGATTTTGCTTGACACTACCGATATATTGATCACTATTTCGATCATTTGGAGTTACTAGTGGCGCGACTGACATATGGATTGCTCTTATGGCAACCTCGAGATAAAAGTGACACACTCAAATTTACTTTAGCTGAATCGACATTTGCATTACATTAAATTACATCGCATTACATTACATCGAATTAATACTGATACAGTTCAGATAATATAAATACACGTGCAATTTGTGATTACACTTTCTATTGCTTCTGGCTATTATTGATACCGCTTCCTTTGTATCACATCCATATCTGATTACTTCGACCAGTCATTAACACAATTTACGTAAAAATGGTTCAGCAAACATTTCTATTCGTCTCGATTACTTCGGGAAATTAGTGACAAAAAGATAACTTCGTAGAAGCTAATTTCACATTGTGATTACGTTCTGGTTATATAGCTATATTTGACACAAACTACTTTATAAGAGCAAAGTTTTCGTTACTTAGTCGATTACTTTAAAATTTTATTGACAAAGGCGACTTTATATAAGGTCACATGAGAGTTTTATTACTGCTTTGATTACTTAGTGATACAATTCACCCAATTGACTTTAAATTACTTCAGTTAACTTAGTGGTTGCTTTTTACCGTTCTCTGATACATTAGTCACATAACCAAGTTTATATCAGCATTATTTATATATTCATCAGTCTTAGTGGCTAGTGCCATATTTGACTTTATATTTGTCTAATTCACTTAACCCTACAAAAAAAAAAAAAAAAACATTTGAAATTCTAACGGGTGGCAAACTGGTCGACCCGTTTGAATCAAACGGGTGGCAAACTTGTCGATCCGTTTGGATCAAGCGTGATTATGGGATACGGGTACTTGTTTGGAACGGTACCCGGTCGAAACGGTACCCGTTTGATAGGGGTGCCCGCTCGACCTGGCACGTGACCACACGTTTGAACGTGCCATTAGAATTGGCAAATTATGCTCCTCTCATTATTAATGCGAACTTATTTGCATCCATAAGGTTTATCCTCAACACTATTATTAATTTGATCACTCTTGATTAGTTTGACTTAGTATTCACCCAATGGAGTTCTATTGGCCTTGCTGACGTCATGATTACTCTTGACATTAATTTGAGCCAATTATAAACACACCAATTTATTATGAGCACGAGGCGCATAATGATTACCCTTTTGATTACTACGAGATGATATTGGCCCAATGGACCTGAATTAGCCCTGACCTTGATGACTTGATTACTTTAAGCTAATATTCAACCAATTGATTTGTTGAGAGCTTAACCCTTTAATCCTCAGCATTGACCAAGAGCAACAACTCAAAAGTGATTGATTTTTACCGTACCACATGCGCCTCTATGAATTTAGTGCCCTCTGTTCCAAGAGCAAAGATACATTCACTTAGCAGTAAAGAATCTAAATGCATCTTCAAAACAGATAACTCATTCTTTAAAACCAAAGCCGACAGCGGATGTGACGTATGATGGCGTGGCTCCACTAGCCTCAAAACTGCGAGAAGAAAGAGCGGCGCAAATAATACAAATTCGGTTTTACCTTTCTCTGCTGTACAAAATTCAAAATGCACATTGGCGTTCTCCTATGTCATAACTGCTTTAATTTGTCCAACATGAAGTAGAGCTTCAAATACCAAACGTTGCCCACGAGCAACATTTCGAAACACGCTTACAAAAAGGGTGCTTTTTTTCTGGGTTCATGTTTGTGTTATTTTGTGTGTTCTAAAACCATATCAAGGTTTGTGGGTCTCTAGTATTTCAAGTAAATTTTGGGCATCAAAGGGTTAATTGATGTTATGGTTTGTTGTTTGATTACTTCGAGTTATTATTTTCTCATTCAATTTTATCTCAGCTACTTGACATTGTGGTGCTTCTTTTAATTACTTCCCTAGTAAAAAAAATCATTTGTATCAGAAATTTCTTGTGCCCAATAAACACATATGAATCATACAAGATATATAAGAACATATAAGAACTTATAAGAACCATATAAGAATTATATGAGAACTATATAAGAATTATATAAGATATATAAGAACCCCATAAGAAACTTATAAGAAACTTCCTAATAGTTTCTTATATGGTGCTTGTATGTTCTCATACATCTTATATAGTTCTTATATAGCTCTTATATGGTTCTTATACGGTTCTTATATGTTCTTATATATCTTGGATGATTCATATGTGTTTATAGGACACGAAAATTTCTCATACAAATGAGAATTTTCAATAGGGTTCGAGCTATTATGCCAGCGGTTTATCTATATTAGGTCAATTCACAATAGTATTACTCATTTGACTACTTCGAGTTACTTGTAATCCCTAGATATTAATACTACCTAAATGGCATTGTGAGGATTCTTTTCATTACTTTGATACAATATTAAGAAACATTAATTATTATCAACTCAATTGACAGTATGATTGCACTTTTGATTACTTTGAGCTACTATGGACCCAATGAATTTTAATTTGGCCTAACTCACACTTTGGGGACTCTCTTGATTACTTAGCAATACCACCAGTATTACAAACTAAATTTACTTTTCTATTACTCAGTTGATTACTTGGATTTACTTTGACCCAATTGCAAATTTAGCTCATATTGAATACTTTGGTTGAATATTACATCAAAAGTATCATCATAATGCTAATTAGGCCGTATTAAAATCTATAGGTCAAAAGTAACTCGAAGTAGTCATAAGAGTAATAATTGTGAATGGAGCCAATAATAGATAAACTGATTTCATAATCACTCAAAGTAATGAACAGAGGCACCACATGGTCAATTAGTTTGCATATAATATACTCAGAAAGTAGTAACTCAAAGTAATCAAACTACTGCTCATAACATCAATTAAGCTAATGACAAAGCAATTGATTGAATATTAGAACAAAGTTATCTAGCCATCAAGATGTCAGTTAGGGCTAATTAAAGTCCATTTGGTCAGTAGCAACTCGAAGTAATCAAAAGGGTAATCATTATGCAACTTGTGCTCATAATCAATCGGTTAGTCGATAATTTGCTCATAGAAATGTCAAAAGTAATCATGATGTCACTTAGACAAAATCAAAGTCAAAATAATCAAGTGTGATCAAAATAGTAACTCAGCTGAGAATATATAATTTGGTTGTATAAAAGCTGAAGTATTTATGAGAGAGGATTATATCAATTAGATCAATATAAAGACAAATAGGTCACTATAGTTACTCAAAGTAATCAAGATGTCAGCAAAGCTGATATAAACTCAGTTACGTGACTAATATATTAGAAAAGGATAAAAAGTAATCACTAATTTAATTGAGTTAGTGAATGAATTGGTTGAATATTAACGTGGTTTAATAAAAAGTAATGAAACTCTTAGCTGAACATATATAGGACTGCCTTTGTCAATAGTAATATAAAGTAATCGGCTGAGTAACGAAAAGCTGCTTCAGTAAAGTTGTTTGTGTGAATAATAGCTATCTAACCAAAAAGTAATGAGAATGTCAATGAGCCTCTACGAAGTTAAATTTTAATAAATAATTCCTTAAAATAATTCAGAGTAATAAAACTGGGGACTCACGTCGGCGTCGACAATATGCATTGTGGATTGGATTGACTGCCCAGAGATTAAATCGGGTAGCGCTGTGATTAAATTGGACGGCGCTTGAATTAAATTGAATGAAACTTGGATTAAATTGACCACCATTTGGATTAAAATGCGGGGGTAAACCGGGACGAACCGGACGATCGCGATAGGAAAACACTAGACTTTCCAGTGTGTTCGGCCGAGCAGCCAAGCCAATCCAGGATTACATGGAAACTCCGGGTTTGATGTTGGACAGACGCGTCAGCTGCACAAAGGGCTTCACACATTCGCGACACGGTAGTCTCCTGAACGCGTACAGTGGGCAACTCTTCAGTCACTCGACGCTGTACTGCGATTCGCGACGACAGAAACGTAATAGAGAGAGAAAGTCTCCGCCGCAGGGCACAGGTTTTGAAGACCACTTGGCACGAGAGTTCTGCCTAACTGGCGCATACAATACGAGGGAGAGACCAATATACTCCGTGTCGTCTAAAAGATTGAGCACACGTTTTAATGCTAATAACCTCGTAAACGTTGGCAGGCATTGAATGTTCGAGCCACCACTGGATCGTGGTAGGCGTAGTGCCGGTCTGGCCACAAGTTCGGCTTTTATATCGCAAAAAAAGATAAGAGACGTCATTGTACGCGTCAAACCTAGAGGTGAGAGTGAGACTTTCGCTACAAGCCGCAGCTTCGCACATATTACCTTCTTTGTCAAAAAAGCTTTACCTTTAAAGGTAAGTTCAAATACAAAAGCGAACTGCGCTTGATTCCTCGCCTGATTGAAAATTTATTTCCATGCCAGGTCTGCTACGCCATTTCTCGACAAACGTACCTGAAGAACACGTATAGTTGAAGCAAAGGGAATACTAAGGGATTCAACAGAAAGTAATCCAAACCGCAGCGCCTTACTTTCGTCGCGATTCAACTACGCACCAGAAAGTGCGACGTAATCGCGAAAATGCGCAAAACTGCCAAAACGCTGTCAGAGTCACGCAGAAACGAAGACACGCAATCTGCATATGCAGAAAGAGACACTGTGCTCCATCCGCGAAGTAGGAACCCTCGGACTAACTCATTCTCGTGGATTTTACGTAAGAACGGGTCAATACTAATTACAAAAACCAGGGAGACAAAGGCCAGCCCTCGTGTGCACCCTTAGTATCTGAGAAAGCAGCCGTCAGACAACCATTACCACTAAGATCGCTAGACAGACCTGTGTCTGAACTTTCAAGCAAGTTTATACATGAACGGCAAAATAAAAATGCCGCTGAAGCACAGTAAGGAACAGTTTACAAAGCTTACATTGAAGATAACATGACGCCAAGATGGGGGTGTCGTTCACAAATGAAAAAGTTATATTTTACGTGTATACCGCTGAAGTGTCTCATAAAGAAATTTATAACAACACACATTGTTTTTTTTTTTTTTGCGAGAGTAGAGATAGGTGTGACGTCGACATACCTGGCCATAAGGCTAATCTCCTTCTTGCAGCACGATGAGAATGTGTATTGGTTCATATTATGCGTGTAATAACTCATAAGGTATCCGTCGGCAAAAGGACAACTTGTAGATCCGGGACCTCCAAGGTTAGGAGGTGTAGGGTCGCCGTCGTGAGGACATCCCATTCTGTGAAGCATGGACGATTAAAAGGACTAGCATCATCAATTCTGTGGAGGTGTGAAGTACTCGTTGCAAGTGCAGTTGACGGAAGGAAACATTCTAATGTGAACGACACAAAGTAGGAACGATTCCAACGTAACTCTTCCATTTCCACCGAAACACGAGTTTCTGTGTTCAATGTTTGGTTTGGAAGCCTTCACTTTTTTCTGCTGTATGTGCACTTCATCAATTTACGCGGATTGTTGTTTTATACGGTGTATTATTATTCCTGCTGATCGCCTTGCAAAAGACAAACTGTGTTTTAGAAAATAAAGAGACATAGATGATCTGGTTGCCTGTTAAAACATATTTGAGGGGTGGGTAATAAGTTTTGCCTCCCAGGCTGTAACATTTTATTCAGTGATTGAATTCAATGCTCTTGCATTCAAATCAAATTTTCAAATATCTTGTATGCCAGGAGCTTATAGCTTTTCAACGTAGTCCCCACCGACGACGATTCAGTTCCGCTACCCTGGCTTTACTCTCCGCATGCCGTCATTGAGGATTGAGGACTTTGTTCACAAGACCAACGCGGCCCTGGAAGAGCTCCAGTTCCAAGATGTCTTGGCTATATCAACTAACTACCTGCACCTTGTGCCATTTGGACGTTTGGCTATTTTCCCAGATAAAAATGCACCTGAAAGATAAGCGCTTTGCGTCCGACGACGGGGCTAGCGATGCGGTGGGCCTTTGATGACGTCGAAGGCCGCCCTCAACCATCTACGACGGCATGCGCAGAGGAACGATAGGTAGCTGGAGTGCATCGCCGCCGGTGGGGTCGAAAATATATGTGATACTGAGAAAGAAAGATTGAAAACTTTCATTCAATTGTAACATATATAAATTCCATCATTGTATAAGAAGTTACAGCCTAAGGGGTAAAACTTACTAATCGTCCCTCCTACGATGATACTGATCATTTGATGTTGCCTGTAGTCAGAGATTTGCACGCAATCTACTTCTAAAGTGAATGCATTCCTTCGATTGAATATGCTCGTGCATCATTTTGACATTCAAGCGGCGGTTTAAGTCCACAGGGAAATCCTTTAGCCATGTACATCGTGCGAGCATAATGAATCTCGGATCTTCACATAACAATATCTGACATACTCACAGGTGTCCAAGTTCATGAGCCATGATGCGTACTCCCAAGAAGGTATTGGCCTTGTCTTCTCCTAAACCCACTCTACTTTCTCCACATGCCGCGGCAATGAACGCATACCCTTGAAAGGAAAAATTGAACACCCCTTGAGCTGGCACCAAAAATATGAGTGAATATAATGAACCTCCCTCTAAGTCTAGAATCGCGATGCCATCATTACAGTTTTCTAAAAAAAAAAAAACGTGCGTCTACTTTCCTGCACAACACTCGGAGCGCCAATCACCGCAACTTACGGAGGCAGCTCGGTGAATGACGATGCCGAAACGTATGTTTAGACAATAAAACGCAGTCTGAGTTGTGACATTAAGCAATGCAAGCGTGAAGTTTTGAATTGCTTAATGTCACAACTCAGAGTGCGTTTTTTGGTCTAAACATATGTTTCGGCATTGTCATTCGCAGAGCTGCTTCCGTAAGTTGTGGTGATTGGCTCTGCGAGGTGTTGTGCGGGAAAGTATACACACGGGCTTTTTTTAGAGTGTAGCTTGAGGCTTTATTGGTCACAAGTTTTACTTCTGATTACATTATATGTCGTGATTGTCTTACCCATGTTGCCTCTGTCGACGTGTGATCCCTGTATTATAACCATGTCCCTCCTTCATGTGCGTGTGCCATGAAAAACACGCGAATATAATGTGAATGACACAAACATTCTTTACAATTTTTCTATAAGAAGTACACCCTAAACGTAAGTACCATTATTGCCAATTAATAAAAAATGAATTCCTTGATACACATAACGCTGGTTTTCCTTTATTTATTAATTCAGTATTTCATAGCACATGTTAAAAATGATTTGGTGCATCACTTTTTTAGATCAAGAATCGTAGTGTCCTTCTAGTCACAACAAAAGAAATTCAAGACAGGCCATTTTTCTCGCAATAATATAAGTTATACTATATTGATTTTTCGCATGCGAAATTCACTCATAAGAAAACGTAGTAAACAATAATCTTGTTTTATTTGCCTAGTACTGCCTTATACCACAATAAATTCAAGTGGTGCTGAATGATTGTAAATATTAAAGGGATGTGAATGTTAGGGTTCCATATGAATCTTTTCAGGTTTCAAATGGGCCTCAGATTTTGTGTTTCTTAAGAAAAATACACATTTTTGTATGCCATATCTCGGGTTAAGTTAACATTAACGTAAAATGACGAAAGCTACTATTTTGAGCAATCTATATTGAGCGTGCAGCAGGCAATCTTTCGAACACTGTAGAGCTCAGCTCACACACTTCCGATTTTTTTAAGACCGAGCGCCTTGGCACCTCTTAAGACCTCTTACGACGAGCGGACACACTAACGCCCTCTATTAGGTAAAAGTTGAAACTTGGTGGTCCTGTATATTTTGTTTCTCACGCGCATCACCCTTTTTTTCTTGGCTAGAAAAACCTTTTCAGCGTTATAAACGACCATTTCTCATAGGTAGTACGCACATTTGACTTCGGAAATCCTGAAAACCCTTGCTCTAGCAAAGTGCAGTTCCAGGATCACCGCGTAGATGGCGCCAACGTGCCAGTGTGTTTTCCCGTCCTAAGGAATTTGACGACGTTTCAAGCACTCGGTTCTAAGGAGTCTCAAGTGTGTGAACGGGCCTTAACTGTCTGAAGCTACGTACTGGGCTCAAATCTAACGGTATATAAGCTACATTGACCTCGTTTTCTTTGAAGGTCTATCTGTCTCTTCTGCTGTTCGATCCTTCAATATAAATTTTTTGTGTTATTTTTAAGAGTTAAAATTATTGTATTGAACATGCGATGTTCTGGTGTTCTGGCTTAGTAAGTTGTCATGTTACGTTGCTTAATGCGCTCGGTGTTTCATGATGGAGCAGGTTGTTTGACATATTTTTATGCTTAGCGGCTAATTGAAGCACTATTAGGCATCTTCATTTTCATTGAAAATAAAGGTATCGTGGTCTTTATCATATTAGAAATCAGCCGTGCTACTTTAAACATATAGATATAGAGTGTTATATTTTATTTAGAACTGATTGCTTTTATTAAAAGCGAGTGAGTGTTCGAAGAGTGATGTCTTCACGGTGCATTTATCAGGCTCGGTGGTCATTAGACGAATAGATAATCGTCATGTTAAGGTTTCCTAATCAACTATCATTAATTAACATTTATATATCGGTTTCAGGTGTCATGTTCTAATAGCAGTACTGACGGTAATCACTACTAGCGGTGATAACATTTAGAACATTTGCAAAAATGTAAGAATTTTTGGATGTTGATTAATATCACGCTCTTAACCAGGTATCAAAAATTGCGCGTAAAAAGTGCGTCGCAAACTCTGTCCTTGATGACGCTTCGAAGAGTGACATAGCCGTTCCAATCATGTCGTCACTGTGTTGGAAGAGTGTCCTTGATGGGTGCGCCGACGACACAAGTGACGACGAAACTGAAACGACTAGGTCACTCTTCTCACCATAATCGTTGGCAGGGCTTGATGCGCTCATTTTTTCGCGCAAGTCTAAATCGGGCTAAAAAACGCGAAAATTAATCAAAGAATATCTCAAAGCTATTACAATTTTGAAAATTGTTTGGATTGGTCTGGCCTCTGATAGTAATTACCGTCAAAGCTGTAACATCAGTCACTCCTAAAGCTAAAGGAAAAAGAATAATAAGCGAATTTTTAGTTAATTACTCAACTCACAATTACGATTGTCTCCTCATCTAATGTCCACCGAGCCTGAGCAATATAAAATAAAAACGGCACTCGTCTAACCCTCACTCTCTTTTAATTAAATATCTTCGAAATAAAAGCAATACCCTGTATATTAAATACGTCACTGAGAATAAGAAGCCATTGTAAACCAGGGGGGAAATTTTCTGAATTTATCACTCCTTATGGCTCCTCTTTTACATCAGGATGCCAATAGATATGTCACACTCATGTAAAACTCCTCTCCAGAATTAGCGAAGATTTGAAAAAGCAAATGGTAATTTTGGAGCGACACCGCTAAATCAGGTGCTGGGGATGACAAGAAAGACACCGTCCGAAATATTGACTATGGTCATATATATATCGTTTTCTTTGAAAAGCGTCATTAAAATTTTGCTTTTGTTAGGTATTGAGCTTGCTTATTACCAAAACAAATATTTCTATACAGCGCGTTGTCTTCATTCTTCTTGAAGTACCGACTGGCTAAATGACAATTAATAGGTCTTGCGGATAGCAAAACTATGACGAAAGGACGAAATTAACCCCTGGAGAAGGGGAACAAGAGGGACAAAGGACAAACATAAATCTCCAAACACAGCTAGGTGACTGGTGAGCGACCGAAAAAATCCGCCTGGTCCGGGTATTGAACCCAGGACCTCTCCATTACAAGTGGAGCGCTCTACCAACTGAGCTATGTTTGTCCTTTGTCCGTCTTGTTCCCCTTCTCCAGGGATTAATTTCGTCATTCTTGTCCAGCTCGCTTGCACCTTTGCATTTAATTGCATTATAATTATAACTTTAAATTTGCAAGCTTCACCCTTGTTGGTGTTAGACTGGTGGCAGCTGATAAAACCCGTTTGCTCTACTGACGTCTAACCCCTGGTTAGCTCAGTTGGTAGAGCGCTCCACTTATAATGGAGAGGTCCCGGGTTCAATACCCGGACCGGCTGGATTTTTTCGGTCGCTCACCACTCACCTAGCTGTGTTTGGAGATTTATGTTTGTCCTTTGTCCCTCTTGTTCCCCTTCTCGAGGGATTAATTTCGTCATTTTTGTCCAGCTCACTTGCACCTTTGCATTTAATTGCATTATAATTATAGCAAAACTATGTTGGAATTACCCAGTAACCAAATAGACGATGTCATAGGTGGCATAGTCTTTCTTGTTTTGATTGAAGAAAACTCTCATGTTGAATACTGACTTGACTCCGTCTATGGCGTTTGATAGGTTAGGCATAAAAGCCAGGAACGACTCTCTTGAGTTCTGCAGGAAAACGTAGCAAGATATTATACAAATTTTACCCTTTTCTTCGTCAACGTATGTTTCATACTTGATAACTCATGCCACGTTCAACCCACTACATCACGTACTAACTCAAATGCTTTGGTTTTTTTCCAGTTCTGTGATCTGTGCAAGGTTGAAATAAACTCCCCTATAATGTTGCGACTGTAGCAGACTTGAAGCTTTATAAGCCTTTGGTTCGTTTATTGCTTCTGAACTTAATTCGTAGGCCGAGCAAAATTTTGGAAATTGCACATGTACATTTTTCGGCAAGGACCTCTTTGATATATGATCGTGTTCCACATTACTGGTGACTGTTCGCTTCTCATACTTCTTATGCTTTTGTTTATATATATATATATATATATATATATATGCTTAAGCTTAGGTCAAGATTATTTACGGTTTCTAGTTAGCCTACCCACTGTAGTACATCAATAGTTGACTTTAAAGTCAATAATTAAATCCAATAAAAAATAGCAGGGTTATGACATGTGCTTAGGCAAGTAGTATTTCGAACGTTTATATTCAGAAAAATACTACGTTACTATATCCGGGTTATAGCAGTTTTGAATTACATTTTCTCAGATATATCTGAGAAAGACATTCTAACGATTTTACTTGCTATACAAATTTATATCGGTCTATTGTAGCAGGCGAAAAAGGAGCTGCTTTACCTAGAGGACTAGTCACAGATAATAGATGTACTTAAAATATATGTTACTTCGCTTATTTGACTGCCTGTCTTTCTTTGAAAAACTGTAGATCGCAATATTCTGCTTTAAACCAATCAAATGCGAGCTTGTTGAAAACATAGTCGCTGCGATATATGTTGGTATAACAGAGTAGTATAGTCGGTTCCAAGTCAAGAAGGTAGGAGAAGGTCCTCCCACAATTGTGATGCGCCCGTTTCAAATCTCTCCGCAGTCGAAAGAAGAGTTCACTGGAAAGGCTCCTTGTTCCGCTTCAATGGATTCCCACTTGTCTCCGATCCCACTTTTTAAGAAAGCGACCTTTGTATTCATCGGAGAGGGAACCGAGCCCCTGAAAGCAGCCTTTGTATCCATCGGGGGGGGAAGCTAATCCCCGAAAGTCGTATTTGTTTCCGTCGGTGGGGGAGAACTCTAATCTCCCTCTCGTCGCTTCCACAATGCTAAGTCAAAGCCGAAAGATAAAGCAAATATGTACAAAAAGGCAAGACCCTCCTCGCGCGTTGGCCGCGACGTCACGGAAACGGTGGGACGCTATTGGATGCGGAGGTGGCAGAGGGATATCTGATTCCCTTTGAGGGGCATTTGCCGCTACCTTCTTGACCTTTAACTGACTATAGTTGTGACACAGGTGTAGTTTTGTAAGATCTTTTATTTCATGAAAGCTTTGGGAGAATGTATTGCTAGAGGCTTGTTTATAAGACTGATGTAAGCAGAAATACGCACCGAAAGTAGCTCTATTCCCAAAAGCCTAAACTTCACTTTCGGGTTGTCAACGCTCAAGTATCTTAAATTAACCTGAAAAGAAAAAAAAAATACAGCTCTCCTTATGGTAAAATAGTGATTGTCAAACTAAAAATAGTCCAATTTAAACTAGCTTTTAATTGTCGAGTGAAATTAATATCACATTTTGTTTTACAATATCGTTGTCACAAATTTCTATTTTTTCCAAGCGTTCATATTATCCTACGACGAATTATCATGGCAATACATGCATTTTATACATTATGCACAGCCCTCACAATTTTTTATTTTACTAGGCACTCTTTTGTGCACATACCCTTATGCAGCAAAAATTTAGGTTAGATATGTACAACGAAGCCGAACTGCATTATAAAGTCACTCAAGCAGTTGTTGAAATGCGCATTGTACTCTAAATATTAATCATTGCGTTTGCCTCATTGAAGTGCTACGCCCATTTTTTATCTTATCTACTTGATTCAATGCGTACCAACTCTTTGTACGACACTTATCATACTTAATACTTTGATCAAAGTAAAGTTCTCCAGTATGACACACATGATAAAGAAGAATGTGCTGATATATGTGATTCCACAATAACTTCATTTCATTGCCGTAATTGTTTTGCGGATCATTGAATTACAGGTAATTATAGACAAAAGAAAACTACGGCCTCTCACCGCTTGATGAAGAACAAAAAACGCAGTATGATAGCATCAAAATTCCTGTTATTTCTACAGACCGACTGCCGAGCTCGGCATTATCAATTTGCCCAGCGCGGATCCATTCTGGCGCCCTTTTTTCTAAATTGAAATGCTGTAAAATTTTACCTGCTATTATCTCTTACCTGCTATATGTAGCGGGAAAATGCTTATCGCTAAATTTAGCTCAAAAACGAATTGATGTTTAGCTATTCTTACCTGGGATTTGATTCTAACCACCCGCTGATGCATCAGTAAGGGCGCGCTCTAACTGCTCGCCTCTCGCAATCCTTGTTTCATTGTTTGTCAATCATTCCTCGGCAAAACTCATTCACGACTGCACTCGCTCACCTCACTCACCCTCAGAGATCAGACGTGAGGTGAAGGTGAACGAGTTCATCAGCCTCGAAAGCTCACGCGTTTGAGGTTCAGTGACGGCCGTGAGTTTGGTGGGTTCATGAGATTTGTGCGTTCATGTGTTCGGTAAGTTCATAAGTTCGATGAGTTTTTGAGTTCAGTAGGTGCATGAGTTTGGTGAACTATGGGTTTGATGAGAGGTGTGAGCTTATCACTTCTGCATAGGTGCCCGAGGGGCCATAGGTTTGATGAGGGTTTGCGGGGTGCAGTTGAAGAAGGGCGGGTCACAGGACTTCTCTATACATTTCCGGGGAAGTTGAGTCGACGCTCGCTTCGCAATCGCGCTGTTAGCTCGTGCGACTGGTTCTTTACAGTGATGGGAAAGAAACAAAGGAGCCTATTGATTTATCTGTGCTCTTCGGCTCCGGCTCGCTTCGCGGCGGCATGGCGTTGTCTTTTGTCTCTGGTCGCTGCTTGGTGACGGTGCGACAAGAAGGGGGGGGGGGGGGGGGGGGGGGAACAGTGGTCGCTCGCTCGCCTCGGTCGCTTTCGACTGCGAGGCACCGATTAAGCTTGTCATTTTGCTGTTTCGTGAAGGAAGCAAACCGGCTCTACGCACTACGCCGGTACACCTGGAGGTAGATGTTATCTCAAGTGCGCTCTGCTTATGCTCTCTCGCTATTCCTGAATCAAATCTTAAAATAAAGGCCCGCTGGGAGCTGTCTCGATTCGCCTGTATACTTGTTTGTTCACGTCGTAGCCTGGAGTTTTGTAAAAAAGAAGTATGCATGCACGTTTTCGTTCTCCAGTACGCCCGAAACGCTGCACTAGTCAGCAATTAAGTTTGAAGGTCGATACATTTATTTGGTAGCAAATAAAAGTGAAACCGATCGTGGATTCACACAGAACAATAGCAGACGATAAGGTAATGAATTTCGTTCAAAGAGATATGAAACGATCTTTTTACTTTAGATTAATATTGCTAATAACAATTAGCGTTCCTAACGTGGTATCCGACACCCCGTTAGTCGCTAAAGAGGGGGTCATTGACCATAGTCGTAAAGAATACTGGCCACACGCGAAAACATTTCGAACGCCGGAGAAAGGTTTTTGACCAAAGGCAAAGGTATATAAATATTAGTTATGAATCCTATATATTATTAGGGTGTTTTAGGGCTAAGCAAAGAAGCAGACGGAGACATGTTAGTGTCCAGCTACGGCCAGTCTGTTCTGAATGCGAGCTTTCCCGCTCCACACCGGCGCGCGCCAGTCCCCGAGACACTGGTGCTGCCGCTTGTTGCACTGGGCACACGAATGAGTTGTTTACGTCTGCCATCTTCCGAGAGAAGGCTATCCTGGTCTAGAGCGGACGATCATCGGAAGAGGAAGCTTGTCCCGACGGTGGAAAAGCTTTAGGCGGTAAACACAGACGATGTGCCGACCATGAAACCGACGGTAGGTTGTGGGTGGCGTAGGCTGTGCGAGGTAATTGACGGGAGATGTCTGGTAACTGATCCGGTACGGACCTTGGTACTTAGAACAGAATTTTGTATAACAACAGACTTTCCGTGTGGGAAAATAGACACAAACAAGGTAATTCGGAGTGTAGTGCCGATCTTGGTGTCTATTGTCGTTGTGGCGTTTGAAGTGTCCTTGTTGCGAAGCTGTACATGCACAGGGCAAGTTGACCGCAGGAGTCTGTACTATAAGCGGCCTGGGAAGAAAAGCCATTGTCGGAAACTTCACTTGGGTGAGGCAGGACAGCATCGAGCGTGGTGGACGGTTCATTCCCGTAAACTAAATAAAATGAGGAGTATCGAGCGAAGGCTTGTACTTACGTGTTGTAAGCGAAGATCACGAATACAAGGATAATGTCCCAATTGAAATGGCTGTTCGAGACGTACAGGGAAATTATGCTTGCGAGCGTGTGGTTAAATTTCTCCGGAAGCCCGTTTGTTTTGAAATGGTAGATGGAGGTCGTTCCAATGTTTGCGCCAGGGATGACCGTCCGCGATCGCTGATAGAACTCTTGGTGTACCATGGCGAAGTACGATGCTATATAAAATGAGGAGTGCGATGGCTTCAGCAGTGACTTTCGGTAAAGTGGAAGTTTCCACATATCGAGTGGCGTGGTCGATAACGACGAGAATCCAGGGATTGCCGGTTATGAACTAAGAAAGGGAGCAACAAGATCAATTCCTACAACACTAAGAGTCTGCGTTAATGGAGGGATGAGCTGAAGGAGAACGGTGGGGCCGGACGAGGAGCGCTTGTGATGCTGACACGGGGAACACGATTCAATGCAATGGCAGACTGTACGGTACAATCCTGACCAAAAGTAACGATGGAGATTGGGCTTGTAGGAACTGATGGAACAGCATGCAGCCAGCGCTTTTCATCGGGGTCGTAGTCGTGCTTGTAAAGGAGGTCATTAAAAATGGCGAAGTCCTACGACTATCTTAATAAAGCAACGATCGCTCGACGGGTTACTGCATTCAAGAGGCTCAAGAGGTGGGCGAATTCAGGTGTCGAAGCGCTAGAATGATAAAAGCTGCCAGTTGAGAAAGTTGCAATAAAGAGGGTTGTTGTCGCGGCGGGTTTTGGACTCTTGCTCGTGTCCTTCGCACTTAGAGAGCGTTGGGATAGCCCGTCAGCGTGGTTGTGGGCTCTTCTAGTTTTGAGACGAACAGAGAAGTCGTACTGTAGTAGACAAGGAAGTCATCGTCCAAAACGGCCGGAGGTGTTTTTCATTGACGAGAGCCAGCAAAGTGAGTGGCGGTCTGCGACGACATCAAAGTGACAGCCTAACACGAGCAAAATTTGGTGATCGCCCTCACAATCTCAAGGCACTCTCCTTCGGGTATTGAATAGTTTGCTTCCTGCTTCGTTAGGGTGCGGCTGGCTTACCCAGTGACGTTTTCCTGTTGGGTCATTGCGTCCCGCCCCAGGAGTACAGCTCCTTATCCGCATCCGCTGATATCTGTATGAATTCCTATAGGAGCACAAGGGACGTAGCTACACAAGACTGGAGATGAGGCAAGGGTTTGTCGAAGGGAAGCAAACGAGGTCCTGCAAAAAAGGGTCCACACTGTGGTTTACATCTCCACGAAGCAGGTGATGAAGAGAAGCGGCGATTCCTGCAGACTTTTTGATAAAGCGGGAAAAGTACGATGCCAGGTCGAGGAAGCTGCGAAGGTATTTTATATTCTTGGCATATGGAAAGTCTCGGACTGATCGAATATTGCTGGGATCGGGAGCGACGCCAACTTGAGTGACGATGTGGCCGAGTACCTTTATTTTTCTTGCAGCGAAGCGGAACTCCTTTGTATGTAATTGAGACCTGCTTTAAGAAGGCAAGAAAGAACGTGGGCCAGTCGGGTTAAGTGCTGTTCAAATGTGGTAGAAACTATGATAATGTTGTTAAAATAACACAAGCGTGTTTTCCAATTCATTTCCCGCAGGACTCCATCTATCGTCCTCTCAAAGGTAGCTGGTGCGTTGGAAAGGCCAAACGGCATAGCGTCAAATTTAAAAAGTCCGTCGGGGGTAGTGAATGCAGTCTTTGTGATGTTCAGCTATTGGTATTTGCCAGTAGCCTGTGCGCCAGTCGAGAGATGAGAAATACGAGGATCATTGCAGAGAGTCGAGAGCGTCATCAATTCGTGGTAGCGTGTAGGCGTCCTTACGAGTAATTTTGTTTAGTCGTCGATAATTGTCATTGAACCCAATGGATCCGTCTTCCTCACAAGTGCGACGAAAGATGACCATGGACTGCAAGAAGGTTGTACCACGCGTTTTGTCAGCATGTCATCAACGTGTTGTTGAATAAATATTTCGCTCGGCCAAAGGCACGCGGTACGGTCGCTGTTGAACCGTAGGTGCATTTCCAGTTTCAATGTAGTATTCAACTTATGTGGCATGTTCTAAGGAAAATGAAGGATGATCAAACACCTCGTGGAACTTTTGAGATAGAGCGATGAGATGACATTTTTGGATATT